AATATAAGCTCCTGGCCACAAGATTTTCATCAACTGCTCAATACACAACTGTGTTTTCTGTGTATTTCTGTTTAAAGACACCTTATTTAATATATATTGTTGATTCATTCACATTAAAGTCGTGGCCAACAACTCTAACTCATGCCTGAGCAAAGCTTATCTAATGCACATATTTTCTCTATAAGACATGTCACAGCCTCCTTGCTCTTAGGAGCACCAGACAGCACTTCAGTACTATGCTGGGGCCATTTTAAACAGTAGACTCACTAACACAGACCATAAAAATGTGAAAGAAAGTGGCACTAAATAGATCATGTTTATAGTATGAGAGCTGAAACACAAAGGCAGGGTGTTGCCTTGTTTGATTTTACCTGGAAATGTGTCAGGTGAATCAAACTTTTCGCCACTATGCACGTGTTCACAAATAACTGTGAAAACATTGTGTATATTGATTTGGGGGTTACCAATAAATTTTAGCATGTAGGCAAATTCGCAAATATGTTATCTGTGAATAATGAGGATGGACCATAGGTGAAAGGAGGTTCAGAGAAGAGTTTGAGTCATAGAAGATTTTGCTGATGGCCTTGAATTTCAGCAGACCCAGTAGAGGTGCTTGTAGGCTGTCAAAGGGATATGAGATATGGTCAGGTTAGGGGACATACAGAACTTCGTGTGGATGAGAAGACTGGTTGTGAGTGATGACTTGAGATCCTTGGGCTTTTTGACACACCTGAGACAAATAGAATTGCAGAAGGCAATGGTCTTTGGGAGTGGGATTATTTTGATGAGACTTTTGCTGTTGACATAACAAATCTTGCCCCCTTTCCATCTTTGTTTAACACAGTGCCACTTCTTCCTTTTTCCCTTCTTCTGCATCCTTTCTTCTTCCTCATCCTTCCTTCTCCTTGGTTTAACAACAGCCTTCTCAGAATTTCTAGAGGGATCAAAAAGAGAAGGATGGTACCCAGAGATTAAGAACTTCAGGGAGTGATGACCCACTCTGTGGGTTATGCCCATGTGCCCTTGGGCTGCCACAAGGCTCCTAAGGGAGTCTGTGGTCTGCTACTACTGGTACAGCTGGAGCCACAAGAATAGCATATACCTTCCTCCCACCTTCTCATCACCCATGAGCCTCCCATTGGTAGAACATGAATTGGAACCCTGGTGGCAAAGGGATCTTAAAAATGTAGTTTCTGGCCCTGGAATACAGAGCGAACAGAGAAAGACAGGAGTGGTGATGAATACCAACAGATAATACTTGGTGTACTCTCGACTTCTCTGTTTCTCTCATATACTCCATAACCACACACATTAGGGAAACCCTGAAAGTATTACTTCAAAGTATGAGTAGAATAAGATCATTTCTTACTACTTCCTCTTACTAGTGTTCTGTTCTGAACCTGCATTTTCCTGCATGTGGATTATTGTAATAGCTTCCTAACTCCTCTTATCCCATTTCCATTTGCCCCCTACAGTCTATCCGTAATGCAATGGCCAGAGCGAAACTTTTAAACATAAATTAGATCACATCCTTTCTCTTCTGGAAGAAATCCCATTTTATTTAGAATAAAAGCCAAAGATCTTACCAGCACTATCTGAACCACCCTTGGCTCTGACCCCACTGTCCCTGTCATTTCCTGTGGTCTGGCCATACTGGCTTCCTTGCCGTTCCTCGAACTCTCTAGTCCACTCCCACCTCAGGGCCTCGCATTGGCCATTCTCCACTTGAAACTATATTTCCTGGGGTATTCACACAGGAAGCTCCCTCCATCCTCAGGTCTTTGCTTCACCTTCTCAGGGAAGCTTACTCTGACTACCCTATTTAATATTGTAACTCATTCTTACCACCTCTTAGCCTAGCAGGACCTTTGGTCCTTTCCCAAAAGTTCGTAAGACATTTGATCTACACCAAAATATCCTGGACATTTGGTTCTTTTCAAAATGCCCACAAGACATTTCGTCCATGCCAAAAGGTTCCTGATATTTGGTCTTGTCCAAAACAGTTTGGCATGGACCAAATATGCTCATGGACATTTTGGATAGGACCAAATATCAAGGACCTTTTGGCATGGACCAAATGTCTCATGGATGTCTTGGACAGGACCAAATTCCTGCTAACCCCTCTTAGTACTTATGATCTCTCTTCCCTTGTTCCACTTTTGCTTTTTTTTTTTTTTCTACAACACTTAAATCTTTTAACATACTCTGTAATTTACTAATGTATTATATTTATTGTGTATTGCTAATCTACCCCCACTAGCCTATAACATCCGTGGGGGCAGAGATTTTTATTTATTTTGTACACTGATCTATCTCAAGCATCTAAACTAGTGACTGCCACATAGTGAGTGCTCAATGAATATTTGTTGAATGAATACATGAATAGTTGCTAGAATGGGACAATAATCCCTTCTGGAGATATGGAAATCAAATGGCCTATACATTTCAGAAATCTTTGTTCCTATTCTAGTGTTGTACAAATGAAACTTAAAACCTTCTAGTAGGGACCTCTGCGAGGAGCAGTATTGACTGGGATTGGCATGTGGGAAATACCTGAGTTGACAGAAATGTTTTCTATCTTGATATGGGTGATATTTGGAAGAAAATTCTTTCAGTTGTACACTTAAGATCTGTGTATTTTAATGTATTTAATACTTCAATAAAAGAAAACAAAATCCATGTGAAATTGAGGAATGCTAGGAAGACTTACCTATGAAGAATTCTCACTTTGATACTATGGGAGACAGACACTGGAGACTTTCTAAACCCCTGCGTGGAGGAAGATTAAAAAATTCTTGATCACAGCATATCTTCTTTTTACTGGCTTTGGCATTTAAGATCTGATTGTATTTTTTTCTTTTTCTCCCAATCCCAAGTAAAACTAATGATCTTTCAAGTCGTTGAGTAAGCCCTTATATTTTGTTTTGGAGTGGTTGACTTTGGCTCAATGAGATATGTGCATGTCTGCGTGTATATGTGTATGTGTACAGGAGCATCTATACTTACTCATGTAGTATGGAGAGCAAGCCAGTTGTTTTATGTTATTGTCATTTCCCTGGCTTTAAAATAAATGAGTTTATTTAGATTTCTAGAAGTGAAACTGCTTCTGTGACATCTTTTGGCTGTTTGGGGTCCTTTGGGATTTGAGCTTTTTACAAAATTTCCCCTGTATGTGAAAACTGCAGGGAAGAGGAGAGCATGAACAGTTTAAAAGCAGGAAACACAGCTAAAAGCTAGATTTTAAACTCATTTCCATCTATTTATGGAAGACCTTTAAGTCCATCAGCCTTATTTGGGAAATTTCCTAGACTGAAAAAAATTTCTGCTTTTTCCATTTTCTTTTAACTCATTCAATGTAAAAGTAAAATAAAATCTACCGCCAACACATTCTTTTCATTGATCAACGCTGTAGCCCAAATCTCCAGAAAAGCTTTTCATTCTTGATCAGTTTTCTCATCAGTAGAATCAGATGCAGTAAGAGCTGGGAAAGCAACCTCAGAGTGACAAATGATCAAGCAGTGACTTGGTAATTCTTCTTAAACCCTGTTTAGCGCCTAGTTGTTAAGGCAGAGAAGAGAGGCTAGAGGCAGGAATCAATTTTTCAGTTGAATATAGTATGTGCTTGGAATACTCTTTAATTATAAATAGTATAATTTAATTGTAACTATAGTGATGTAAGTTAGATTTCCCTTTCTGGAGGAAAAATCATGTGCTGTTTTCTTCGTCTGCTTTTGAGAATACTGTGTTAGTCAAATAGGGAGCAATGTGTGTGGGAAAACTTGGATGTGCCTCTCACCCACCATTCTGCCTTAATCTCCTCTGAGCTTGACTGCATGCCTCTTTGGTCCATTTAGGAATAAAAATAAACTCTACTTCTCTCTTGATAATTCATGATAGTCTTCCCGGAGTCTTGATTAGAGAGGGAGCAGCAAGATGACGAATTATTTCCTTCATGTGGTAACTGAAGGGAAACAAAGTCCACACCATCACCCGCCTTCCTGGGTCTGTTCTCAGCCCATGTATCTATGGGCTGAGCACAGGGAACTGGCTCTGAAAGAGAGGCTGATGCCTGTTTTCCATGGTCTCGCCCCTCAAGAAAAGAGGGAGGAAAAAAAGGAAAACCAGAATCTTATTATCCAAAGGCTATTCTTTCTTCACTCAGTCTGCTTCATTTTGACGCACTTCACTTACCCTCACTAATTTTTGCTTGTTGAGCTCACTTATTTAAAATAAAAATACCTTCACAGAAATGGTTCAGTGCCATAGAGGTAGTGAAAGGGCCTGCACTTCTCCCAGATGCTTCCAGAAAATTTTTGCCTGGAAGGCGGTAAACATTCACAGCCTTCCTGGGGTCCAGGGGCCAGTTGATCCTGGGTAGTGAATTACTGCCCAGGTTCCATGGAAGGAACAGTCATGTGGGCAGAGATGCTTAGACTGCTGACATTTTAAAGGCTTTTGTGAAAGGAAAATGATTTGCAAGTGTTTGGCAAACAAAAGCTCTGTGTAGCTCTGTGCCACTTTCAAAGTCAACTTTAAACTCCTAAAACTTCTATGTTTATGAGAACACAAAACTTTTATGCAGCCTGATGCTTACAAAGAGCTCCACGGCACTCTGTGTTCAAAGGTTGAGCCTAAAGACTGAGAATCGGGGTTTTATATTCTGTAGCCATGAACCTTGGCTGGAGCCCAGAGAACTGGGGATAAATCCAGAGGAAAGCAGACAGAGTCTCTTAAAGATGAATTTACTTGGTTTCACTCTTTCGGTTGCCTTTGGGCTGGTGCCTGTGCACACACTTTTGCAGTGGCGGCGGGGGGGCGGGGAGGGGATCAGTGAGTGGATGGCTCCGGCATGTGCTCCCCTGGAACAAGCAGACTGACGGAACAGGTGGCCCTTTTAAGTAGGTTCAGGCCCAAAGTGAATGGGCCTGATCAATTATTCAACATAAAATGATGGAAATAAACTAAACAGAAAGATCGCTCAGGTCTCCGTGCCTGTGGGAATCCTGGTAGTGATTGCAAGACTTTAACCAGAGCACCCCGCCGTCCTCGGCAGCCAGAGTCCTGGGTTAGAGCTGAAGAATCTGCTAGAAACTCACACCAATACATCACAGGTAAGTTAGATAATTGGGAAATTTAAAAAAAAAAAACTGATTTCATAGACTGATAATGTAAATTAAAAATATTTAGAAAACCAGTTCTTTCATTTTAGAAAGGAGGGCACTGGGTCAGTTACTAAAGCTTTCCTATCTTCTGGGGACAGAGCTGAGAACAGCACTCAGGTCCCCCGGACTCTTGTTGGAGGACTCTGCCCCCATCAATCATTTGATCCAAACATCACACACAGACCTGCAAAGAGACTTCCTAATACCCAGAAACTAGCATCCCTGATGAAAAGAAATATGTCCTTGTCCACTTTCCCTTCACCTTGACCTTCAGGCTGTCTTTGTAACCTCTTTCCTCCTTCAAATATTTCTTTAAAATTGGGAGGTTGTAGGGGGTAGAGAGGCAAAGAGAAAAGAACATTTTAGAGCTGGAAGGGAGGGTCTAGAACATCGCATTTGTTTCCTGGCCTCCTTTATCGATGAGCAAAAAAGAGGAATGCTTCTAGAAGGAGCTTTCAAATGTAGTTTCTGATTCAGTTAAGATCTGGGGTGGGGCCTGAGAGTCTGCATTTCTACCAAGCTCCTGGGTGATTCTGATCCACAAGAGCACACTTTTGAGTCTTAAGGGAGTGGACCAAGTGGCCAGCTTCAGGTTGCATAACTAGTTAGTGGTTACTCCAGTGACTGTGGTGAATCTCAAGTGATTTCAGATGGTTCAGACCCATGCAACTTTAAGCATGCTTCTTAAACTCTGAGTTATATTTTTCTCATCTATAAAAATTACAGTTTCATGGGATTTGTGACTCTTGTGTCTAGCCAGTGAGGATAACAGAGTCTTCATAGAGGCCTATATTCACAGTATATGGGAAAAATATAGAATTGGAAGCCCAGAGGCCCTGGGTGACCCAGCTTTGTGACCAAAGGAAACACTTCAGGCACTTCAGGCCTGAGTTGCCTTCCCTGAAATGAGAGGGAGATGGCCTGGGTCATCTTTAAGATTGCTTCTTTTTTAAGACAGCTTTTTTCTGGGCACACATGAAAATACAGTAAGAGTAACACTTGCCACGTGCCAGGCCCTAGTTTAAAAGCTTTGCATATAGTAACTCATTTCGTCTTTACTACAACCCTGTGTTATCATCCCTACTTGACAGATGAAGAAGCTGAGTTCTGGAGAGGTTCAAGGTCATGCAATTATAAGTGGAAGAACCAGGTAACATGGCTTCAGTCCGTGCTGTCAATGACCCAGTGAATAGCGATGGTTCAACTATAAGGAGGTTCTAGTTATAGATCTCCTTCATGTGTGTTATTTGAACCAAGTAGCCATATTGCGACTTGCCATAATCACCATCATTACCCCCATCTTACAGGTGAGAAAACCAAGATTCACATAAGTAGCAAATGGAGAAGCCAGGATTTAAATGGAGTCTATCAGAGTCTATCCTTTGCAAAAGATGTGCAAAGCAGTGCCTCAAACCTGCAGCTCTAACTATGAACACCAAACTCTTTGAGACGTGGGAAAGCTTGGTCTCCTCAGCTGATGAGCCTGGCAGAGATGGAGTCCACCAAGTATTTCTAACAGTTGGAGGCTTGTATGAAAAATTAAACATAAATTGATTGTCTAAATGGATTTATTGTCCACTAAACTTGCTATAGGCACTTGTTAAATGTATTAATATAGATGCAGCTACTTTTGGGTTTCCTATACAGGCAATACCATTTATAAATAATAAAATGTTTGGATTTTTATTTCCAGAAAAAGAGATCCCTTCTAGTTCTAACATTCCACCACTTGGAACATAATGTTCCTAGTTTAAATAAGTATAGTGATGTGGAGTTGCGGTGTCTTTGTTTCTGCCGTATATCAATGGTCCATTTAATGCCAAGTTCTTGAACAGAAACAGAGCCCCATAATTATGCATATTTCTATGGGAAAATTTGTCCAGCTTCCTTGTTTCACTCAAGGACATATTCTTCCAAGACATAAGGGGTGAGGGGGAAAGTGATGGAATCTGTAGGCTTTTAACATTCCCATGGCTGGGAGTATTCTGAAGTTATACTTTTTTGTTCTATCACCAAAGTTGAGTATCCTAATTTGGGGACATAACCCCATGAGATCACCACTGGTCCCTTAACTGCCCATTATCCCAGTGATGATATGCAGACACTGCACAGTGACTGCTACGTTGGGGCTGCAGCACGTGGGCTTGTCACGGTGAGGACTCTCACAATTAACTTGTTTTTTCAAAAAAGGAAAAAAAGGGCTTCCCTGGTGGCGCAGTGGTTGAGAGTCCGCCTGCTGATGTAGGGGACACGGGTTCGTGCCCCGGTCTGGGAAGATCCCACATGCCACGGAGCGGCTGGACCCGTGAGCCATGGCCGCTGAGCCTGCGTGTGCAGAGACTGTGCTCCGCAACGGGAGAGGCCACAACAGTGAGAGGCCCGCGTACCGCCAAAAAAAAAAAAAAAAAAATTTGGACATCGACAGTTACCTGCTTGGTAGAGAATTATGTAACCATCCAAGAATGGTCGGATGTCCCTTTCAGAAAAATGCCCCCTGAGACCTTTCTTAATGACATTTTACATGTGCATGACCGATAGCATCTTTACAAACGATGTATTTCAGCTCATCTCATTTTGTCCTCACAGGAACTGGGAGAAGCAGGTGTCCCCTCCCTTCTGTAGAGGAGGAATTAAGGCTCCCAGCAACCAGGAGTCACTTGCAGTGTGACCCCATCAGGACTGCAGTTCAGGCCCCTGGTTTCCTGTCCAGGCCTTTCTTCACTCGACCAAGGCCATGACTCTAACATCCTACAAATGTCCTGTGAAAACGTCCACATGAAATATATGCTCTTTTCTAAGTCTGTTTACTTCTGACCCTGTGGAAAGGTTTGAGAGACATTAGTAACTTATTTTTGTATTTTCTCAAGTCCCTGTGAAGGAATGACTGTATCTGTAGTGCTTCTTTTCTGGGCCCTGGAAGGAATCCAAAGCTGTCTCTGTGTTTTCCATTTGGCACATTTTCAAGAATCTCTTGCTGTTTCCTGGAGGTGGTCCTGCAGAACTCTATAGAGCGCCCCCTGACAGGTTGACCGAGGCAGGAATGCAGGCATCACGAAGCCTCGAAATAGAAAAGACTGGTGGGACGTGCAGGTGCACCCTGCTCTGTGCAACTCACTCTAAAGACAGGGGAAGGGCCCCTGAGAGAGGGACCACTTTTCAACAGCAGATAACTACCTGTTGCTTTGTCATGGAACTTTTATTTGTTTATTTGTTTTGAAACTTTTTTTTAAAAAAATGAAGTATAGTTGACTTAATTGTGTTACTTTCAGGTGTACAGCACAGTGATTCATATATATATACATATATATATATATACACACACACATATATATATATATATTCCTTTTGTCATGGAACTTTTAAATAGTGAATGAATCTAGTGAAATTTTTAAAATACAATTCGACTTATGGAGAGGAATTCACCTTGACTTTCTTGAAATAGTCATAGGTCACAGGTTTGAAAAGCAACACTAAGAAGAAACAGGGAGACTTTCAAAAGAAGGTTGATGGTGAGTAAGCCTCTGTATGACAGAGTCTGAGCTGCCCCACATGCCCAAAAGCTCACAGTACTTCAAAGATCCAGCCAGAAAAGACCAAGGAGAGGATAGGAGTCCCAGCTTCGCTGAAGCTTCAGAAACATCTACATTTACAAAGGGGTTTGCAGTAGAGGCTGCTGCCCATGTTCTTTCTGAAACAGGCCCAGAAAGTGAAACTTTAAAAGGCAATTAATGGGTGAGTTTTAAATATACTGAGGATAGAGGACTCCCCTGGTGGCGCAGTGGTTGAGAGTCCGCCTGCCGATGCAGGGGACGCGGGTTCATGCCCCGGTCCGGGAGGATCCCACGTGCCGCGGAGCGGCTGGGCCCGTGAGCCATGGCAACCACTGTTACCTTAATTTTAAAAAGCAACTGCAGTCCTCATAATCCTCTCAAGTTTAAGTCAATCAAAGTGAAAAAGAAAAGGCCTTGCCTGGGCATTTCTACTTAGAAGAGCCTAAGTTTGAATCAATGCTTATGTATGAAGCTTGTTCCTAATAATTTGAGCACATGCTTGGTCCTTCCCTTGTTTTCCCTCTTTCCTTTGCTTCAGATGTTGACAACCTTTTTTGAAAGGCATTGGAAGACCTTGTTGTTGAAGGATTCCTGTGGGCAATCCCAGAACTTTGGAGCTGGAAGGGAATCTAGCAACCACTCAATGCCTTTCACAAATGAGGAAAACCAAGAGCCGGGACTTTGAACCCATGTGTGCACTGCACAGGTGCTGGGCAGACAGAGCTCAGTCTCCCAGGTGCTGGGGTCCTCTTAGCCGCCCCTCCCCTTTCTTCTGCCCTCAGGAAGAACATGGTCTTCAGAATCCCTCTATATAAAAGTGAGCCCCTATGGAGAGCACTTAGCCAGTTCCAAATTCAGAAGTCTAGGTAACAAGGCAGTTCCCTTCCATGTGTCTTTTCCATGAAGCACAATGGTACCTGCATTACTTTCCTGTCACTGTCCTAACAAATTACCACAAACTGGGTGGCTTAAGACAACAGTTTATTCTCTCACAATTGGAAAGGCCAGAAGTCCAAAATCAAGGTGTCAGTAGAGTTGCACTCCCTCCAAAGGCTCTGAAAAGGAATATTTTCTTGCTTCTTCCACTTCTGATGGTTCCAGGAGTTCGCTGGCTTGTGGTTGCATAAATCCAGTCTGCCTCCATGGTCACATGGCCTTCTCCTTGATGACTCTGCCTTCTCCTTTTCTTTCCCTTACAGGAACGTCTGTCATTGGATTTAAGGCCAACTCATCTCACCCAAGATGATTTTCTCATCTCAAGATCTTTAACTGAATTACATCAGCAAAGATCCTTTTTCCAAATATGGTCACATTCACAGGTTCCTGGGTTAAGACATGGGAATATCTTTTTGGGGGCCACCATTCAACCTGCTATAGTATTCATGTAAATAGACTCTCAGAAATAGCCCTAAATCCCCAGCGTAAGTACTATAAATTCTATATTTGTGTTTCCCAGGGTAAGTTTCTTACACCTAGTTTTGAAGAGTTATTTTCTAAAATGAGTTTCATGGTGAGATGATTTTGATAATTTCGTATAGCAAAGTTAAGCGGTAGCAGCTTTTTTTTGGTTTTGCTTGTTTGTTTCTTTACAATTGGAATTTCTCAGAACCTTTAAGAAGCTGATGGACATTATGGCTTTTCAGAACTGGGATAATGATGCATGGTATTTCCCAGGTGAGTATGTTTTGTCTGGGTTTTCCAGAAAACAAGGATTAAGACAAGGCTTAAGTGCAAGCTTTCCACTGGGGATTATTTTCCAGGGAGGCAGAGTGAAGGGCAGGGCACAACACAGACAGATGGAGAGCAGTGCCAGGTGGGTCCTAGATCTGGCCACCTCTGAGGCTGTTAGTGGCCTGACCTCATGAGACAGCTCAAATTGCTGGAGGAAATGTATCTGGGGTCTTTCTACTAGGGAAGAGAGGGGGCAGCAGTAATCCACTGGCTTCCACCACCATTAGTCAAAGTGCCCCTTCACCACCCACGCAGGCTCTGCACGTCTAAGTGCCTAGCAGGTCCTCACCACATCCCCTGTTTTTGTGTAATTGCAGCATCGGCACCTGCAGGAAGTGGGTCAGAGCCTGCACAGAAGCGATCACACCATAGTCACTGGCTTGTGATCAGCTGAGGCTGAGAGAATCTGAAGCCGTGCTTGAGAGGTGTCTGTTATGTTCCTGGACCCGTTAGTGGGAAGACATCCCAGGAAACAAGTGCTTCATGGAAGGCTCTTTGAGAAACCAATTTCAGTGTTAAATTGCTCTGATACGTTATTTCATTAACGAACTTGCTTTAATGCTACTTATGCTTCCTGGTATCACCACACACTCCCTCAGTTCTGTATTTGGGGATCACTGTCAATCATCTAGTCTGACAAAATACATTACCATGCCTTTTAAAATTTTAAGTCAGGAGAGAGTTCATTCTTGAAAGAACTGTTTATACATACTGGAAAGCACATTCCTGGAGCTGATTTAATTTTAACTTTATTTGTATTCATATCTGCTGACAGTAAGCTGTGAAAACTGGAAGATTTCTTAGGGTATGGACTACTTCCATTTTTGCTCATTCAGCCAATGTGGTAAATATCATCTTACCAAAAGAGAAGGGAAAAAGAATACACAGCAGTTTCTTATCTAGCTCAATGGGAGGGAAAAAGAGAAAAGAAGCAGCAAAAGCAAGATCATTGCCTGGTGCAAATTTTGGGACAGTTACATTACACAAAAGGATTGGAAAATGGAAATGTGTTCCTTTGAAATGACTGTAATCTGCTGAATGTTGAGGCTGAGAGGAAAGTAATGAAGGAGAACAAGGCAGGCGAGAGTATTAATTTTCTCTGATGATGGAGGCTATATAGTCACCTTTACAGGAAAAGATCCAGACATTGTGGAGGAGCTGATTTTCAAGAGACCCACTCTGCTTGCTGGAGTCCATTTTATGGATGGTTGGTTGGCATGAAGGAGCTGTGAATCACAGGGAGCCTGTGTCCTCTCCACAACAGCACCCAGGAAGCACAGGATCCAAACAGAGCCAGTAAAGTGAGAGTTAACAGGAAACCCTGAGATGGCAACATCAGTTCAATCTGGTTTTGGTGTTGCCATCAATGAAACAAGCTGGAATCATGAGCGTAGAGAAGGGAGGAGGCGTAATGGGCTGGTGGAGGGTGGGACAAAATTGTGTTGGCCCAAGTGTGGAAAAAACCCTGTTCTTTTTAAGACTCCTGAAATGGTCTTTTGGAAGCAGCATGGTAAACGGAAAAGAACCTAGACTTTTCAGCCAGTTGACTTAAAAATGAATTTCTGGATCATTTGCTTGTGAGCTGTGTAGCCTTGGGATAGTCATTGAGCTTTTATGCCTCAGTTTTCTAATCTGTAAAATGGAGAGAATAATACTATGTCATTTAGTGGCAAATAATAGAACACCCTACTCAATGTAGTTTAAACAATACAAGCGTACTTCCAGGCAAGAAGGTTCTGGGCACTCCTCCAAACATATAGCACAATAATGGATAAGGAAAAGGTATAGTTGAGGCTCAAAAGCCACATAAATATATCTAAAGACCACAAGTGGAAAAATAGTACAAGGTGCTTCAGGCCCAGAAGAAGGCAGTATTTGCTGGGAGTTTGGCCTGGGCAGCATTACTACATGGGGAAAAAAAAGAAAAGAAAGAAAAGGAAAGGAAGTATAGGCCAGATCAATTGGATCAATGCTTGACACTAGGACCTGGGTGGGACTCAAGGCTACCAATCTATAAGACTAGAGGAAAAAGAAACGGTAAAAGTTTAGCCTCTTGACCAGGATATGAGTCAATCCATCCTCACTTGGTAACTAAACCCATGATATGGAAACAGGGCATGGAACTAGGGCCTCAGAGGGTTAGGGAGAGAAAGTATAGAAGTCATAAAATTGTATGACTCTAACAATATAGCCTCAAAATACAAAAAGCAAAAACTGATATAAGGAAAATTTGACTAATCCCCCAAAACCCACTGGGATATTTTAATGTATATAAAATATGATGATTGGTTGAACAGACTTCAAGTTGACAGGAATATAGAAAGTATGGATAGGACAATAAAAAGAATATATGTTATTTTCAATTACACATAGGGTATTTATAAAAATTTACTATGTATAGGCCGCAAAGGAATTGTCTGCAAATTTCAAACAGCAATATCATATGAATAATGGTGTTCCAATTCAATACAATTAAAGTAGAAATTAACGAAAAAAAGAGAATAAAAACAGACACATATATATTGGGAAACTTAGAAATGTACTGCCAAATAATTCATGGGTATATTAGCTTCTTATGACTGCTGTAACCAATTACCACAAACCCGGGGGCATAACCCAATAGAAATATATTTTCTCACAGTTCTGGAGACCGGAATCTTGAAATTAGTATCACTGGGCTGAAATCAAAGTATTGTTAGGGCTGTGTTCCCTCTGGAAGCTCCAGGGGAGAACTTGTTCCTTGAATCTTCCAGTTTCCGGTGGCTCTGGACGTTCCAAGGCTTTTGGTTACATCATTCTACTTTGTGGTCACATTGCCTCCTCCTCTTCTGACCTTGGGGAATCTCTCTCTGCCTCTATCTTGTAAGGATACATGTGATGGTATTTAGGGGCCACCTGGATGTCCAGGATAATGTCTCCATCTCAAGATCCTTAACTTAGTCACATCTGCATTCTTTTTTTTGATCATATATCATTCACAGGTTCCAGGGATTATGATATGAATGTCTTTTGGGGGCCATCACTTAGTCTACCACATGGGTGAAAGAGAAAAATTACAGTGAGAATTGTGAATGACAATACAAGTCATGTAGATCAAGACTTGTGGAATACAGCAAAAATCATACCTAGAGGCAAATTTATAGCCTTAAATGTGATTTTTTTTTTAAAGAACATTTAAAATAAACAACTTTATTTAACTCAACAAGTTGAATCAGGAATCAAAATACTTCCCTTCAAAAGCAACAGGCCCAGACAAGATTTTGGAAATTTCAAGAAGCAAACATTCCCCATCTTATACAGATCTTTTCAGAGTCTAGACCTAAAAAGGTAGGCCACCCACATAGTTTTATCAGGCTAATAGAACTTTGATATGGAAACTAGACAGAACAGTACAAGGAAAAATAATTATAGGCCAATCTCACTTATAATCATGAATGCAAAAATCCCAGATAAAATACAGCAAATTGAATTTAATAGTTATTAAAAATATACAATGACAATGTTAGGTTAATCCCAGGAATTATAAGGCTGGTCAATACTAGAAAATCTCTTAATGCAATACATACCATTAACAGATTAAAGGAGGAAAATTATATAATTATCTCAGTAGATGCCTCAAAAGCATAAAGTATAAATTCTTCCTCATTCATGATTAAAAAATTAAAAGCATTTAGCAAAGAAAGACTGGAAAGAAGCCTCTGTAACCTGATGATTGGTGCCCATCAAACACCAACAGCAAACATCATCTATATTAATGGGATTTTAGAAGTTTCCCACCTCAGACTGAGGAGAAACTTGCCTGCCCTCACTGTTACTTCTTTGGCATGTCCAGGTTTGGGTGGCTTATGCTAGTTTGTCATTTGCCCTTAGAGTGTTTAGATATGCAAGTGCAGGTGGTAAAAGTATCAAAGCATGGCCTATAGTAGGCTTCTCTTCCTCCATTGTCATAGAGTCCCAGCCAGGCATTCGGTAGCCCAGTTAACTCATATTTCTTCACATTGTGCGATACGCTGTATGTTCATGTGACTAAGTTCTCTGCAGTGAAACACTAGGAAGGGATGTGTAGTACATATGGGTCTGCATCTTAAGACATGGGTGTGCCCCTTCCAAACTCTCTGCCCCTTCCCAATGGCTGGAACTTGGAAGTGGCAGTGACCTAGCTTCAGCCTTACAGGTGATGACAGGTAATGATGGAGTAATAGGAAGGAAGGAGCTATGTTCCCTGATAGACCTTGTGGAACAGAACTGACCCTCCCACGTGGAATGCTTACATTGGGGCTAAGTGATAAAGAAATGACAGTATATATTCTTGAAACCGCTGAAGCTTTGTGTCTTTTTGTTACAGCAGCTTGGCCTTACAACCAACAACCAACAATATGGGAATAATATTAAACACCACATCTGGATGGCAGTTAAGGACTTTGGGTCACATGGTGCTATAGACCTTCAACAGCATCTTTAACATTTGGTTTCTTTAAAAAATGCAGAAGAGGGCTTCCCTGGTGGCGCACTGGTTGAGAGTCCGCCTGCCGATGTAGGGGACACGGGTTCGTGCCCCGGTCTGGGAAGATCCCACGTGCCGCGGAGCGGCTGGGCCCGTGAGCCATGGCCGCTGAGCCTGCGCGTCGGGAGCCTGTGCTGTGCAACGGGAGAGGCCACAGCAGTGAGAGGCCCCGTACCGCAAAAAAAAAAAAAAAAATTCAGAAGAAAATACGTCAGTTTTAAGATGCTGGATTGTAGATCTTCTGACATTTGTTATATAATTTTCTATCCTTTTCTGAAGGTTTGATATACGCAATAATAAAATTGAAAGAAGAAAGCGATCAAGGGAATTTATTGCCTACAAGTATCTCCTGACTTTAAGATAATCTCAGTTCCATCACTCAGTAATGTAACCAGGAATTGCTTTATCTTCAACTTTGGTCTGCCTTCCTCTGGATTTTGGCTTCTTCTAAAATGCCCCTCCTGGACCCAAAATAACTACTAGCATCTTCTCGAATTCATGCTGCCTCATTCATTACAAACAGAAAAGACCATCTTTACCCCCAAGTAGATAAGACATCAAACTTTCATCAAACATTTGTTAAGATTTTATTCTTTGCCAAGTACTAGTGACACAGAAATGACTCAGACATAGTTGCTTAAGTGGAAAAGTTCAAAATCATAATCTGGACATCCAAAAATATTTATGCTTCTTTCTGCATAAAGATTGCCTTTTAAAATGCTCATACTCTTCAATTTGTGACATGCTCAGCAACTGACATAGACTTGGTCCCCATTCTACCTTACCTAGGCTCTTATGTCCATGAACATGAGATGTTTACACTTTCTTTAGTCATTCTCTCTGCTTTGAAAATCATTTCATTTCTTCTCCACTAGGCCAAGTTCTACTGTGTCTTCAAAGCCCTCCAGTACATCTTTCTAGGGAGCATCAAGAAATAAGATCCATAAGCAAGTAAGTTTCTGGGGTGACTTCTCCCCAGCTACAATGTCATTGCTTAAGAGTTAGACTTGGTGGATATTACCTTCAAGCAAGTTCATTGTTCCCTCCTTTGTGTTCCTATAGCACTCTCTTTATATCATCAGTATGCTACTTAGATGCATGTACACAACTAACTATAACACGGCATGATTTCTCTTACACTG